AGCTCAGCCTGCGGTACCCAGCCACGTCCAAGGGCTGTATGCGTTTGAGGCGCAGGGGAGGGGGTTGAAGTTGCTTTTGGAGGGGGATCAGTAGCTGCGGGATTGGGATGCAGGATGGGAATGAGATGGTTTGTATATATATATATATATATACGAAACTCACACCGAGCAAACCCTTTTGTCCAAGTAAAATCTGACAGAAAGAGATGTGTCGTGGTGCACAAGTCAAGATGTAAAAGACCTGTTGCAAGAGTCTTGCAAAGTAAAAATGGATAGGGTATACAACCCGTACATAGCCAATCAGCTGTACCACGTTACATTCTTCGCAGGCCATCACTCGTCAATCCTTCTCTCGTGATATTGCCATTATTCATAAAAGGCTGCTGCTGTTCATACCCTGTATCACAGCATCTTACTCGACCGCACATTCATCACCAATAGCACAGTAAAAATAAAGGCCAATCCAGATGGGTGTTTGAACTTGTTCATTTCATGCTGGGTAGCCCAGCTCTGTCATCAGATACATAGGCGAGGCCCCGAATGCATCACCTCACGCCATAACCCAGGAATGCTAGAAAATACCCATGCCAGAAACCATCTTTTAGTACCTCTTGCCCTCACGGAGAACGTCGCTGTACTCCTCGAGCGGCGAACGGGTAAGTCGCGTCTCCTTCCACAGATTTGGTGTGAGGAAGCCGTATGTGTTAGCGACAGCGACAAAGGTAGCCTTGAGAGTGTTCTCGAGGGTCTTGGTGGATCCGGACGAGGCAGTGTAAATGTCCGAGACACCAGCCAACTGCAACAGACGCTTGACGGCAGGCGAGGCAACGAGACCGGTACCACGGGGAGCAGGAATGAGACGGACAGTGACGGAACCGCACTTTCCACTCTCCTTTGTGGGGAGCGAGTGAGGCTCACCAAGGTTGGTACCCCAGTATCCTCGTCGGATAGGGACGACGGAGAGCTTGGCGATGATGATGGCAGCGCGAATGGCGGTCGCGACTTCCTTGGAGGTCTTGATACCGAGACCAATGTGGCCCTCGGAGTCACCAATGACAACAATCGCCTTGAAGCGCGTACGCTGACCGGCACGGGTCTGCTTCTGGACGGGCTTGATCTTCATAACCTCGTCCTTGAGCTTGGGGAGGAAGAAGTCGACGATCTGGTACTCCTTGACGGGCAGAGAGTGGAGGTAGCTATCAGTTGTCAATTGTTGCCCTCTTTGCCGGCAGTGTATCTCGTGTGAACGTACATCTCCTCCATGCTCTTGATCTTGCCGGCCTTTACGAGACGGCCGAGCTTGGTGACGGGCTGCCATTCCTTCTCCTGCGCAAACTGTCAATTTCCGCGCGAATAAAATATTCCCAGGCCGAGTGTGCGTACCTCAGTCTTGCCACCACGACGTCCACGTCCACGGCCACGACCGCGACCACGGTCACCACCACGGTCTCCACGAGATCCGAATCCGCCGCGAGCGGGAGCAGGTGCGTCAGCCATGTTGTATGTTTGTGAGGTATACGGCTGCTGTGTTCCGCGGTTAGCTGATGTCGTGCGAAGAGAGTGCGAGAGAAAACATACGGTTTGGTGTCCTGGGTTAGTGCTGCTGTCGCGGATCTGGACGATTGTGAATGTTCAATTTCGCTGGTGGTAAGCGAGAGCTGTGTGTCGCTAGTGCCCGATTGGGTTTAACGTGGTCGGGGGTTAGCAGCGCCCTCATTGATTCACGACCTTCGACTGAGTCCTATTGTACTTGTAGGACTCAAAACCATCAAAGTGATTGCTACTTGATTCTTCATACGAGGTTTTATCATACCTGCATGCGCAGAAGACAATACGAGCGTCTCTGCCCTGAAGTAGTGGCAATACGTTGAATGTGCCAACAAGTTGTGTTGCAATATTCAGTCTTCCTGTTCCTATCATAATGTTTGAGTGTTGATGATTGCATTTCGTTTTCTTAGGAAGCAAAAACATGTAGACTTTAATTAATTCTCTACACATGTTGTATACAACTCAAAACGCAGCCTATCTGGAGAGTGGATTCATCGTCGCTGAAAGTTCGTCCCCGAGTCGCTTCGGGTGATGACTAAGGCATCTCCGCGAGCTCCTGACTCGTTCACATGTTCACATGTGCACAGTGCCAATGGTCACGAAGCTCAACTGCACAACCACGCATAACTATCAAGCACCACCATTTCATTCTTTGGACATTTTGACTGCTCCTCTTTCTTCATGAGCAAATATGTCCATTCTACACTCGGTCCTCGGCTCACTATCCCCTCCACCCAAATTCCCAAAGTCTTTCGAAGATCCACACGCGCGTGAGCACGAGTTACCGCTCTACAACTCACCACCTTCGCCACGCATACCTCCACCTGTGACTGCGTCAGTTCTTTGGAGTGCGCCAAAGTCAAGCTTATCTCCGCCGCCTCGTGTTCCTGACGATCTTCTTGCCATACAACGGCGAGCACGACATCTCGAAAAGCAACTCCAGGAGCTGTTAGACGCCCAAGCGGATGGCTTGATCGGTGGTCTCAACGGGAGCCATACGCCTGCAGATGACCTTGTCTCGAATGGAAGCACGACACCGACAGTCAGCAGCATCAAATCTGCCGAAAGAGTTACTGAGAATGGCAGCCTTGAACCACGATCCAGAAAGAAGAAAATTGGTCTGAACGCCGCAAGGCTAGGGATATCGAAACGAATTAGGCAGCTTGCAAACGTCAAGGCTGAGGAGCTCGATCTACTTGACCAAGAATTGAGGAATCTACAAGTGACGGTAGAGAAGACCGAGACGTGGACGCAGAAGCGCGCGCGATTAGAGAAGAAGATCAAGGACATCGAGGGCGAGAGTGCTGGTGCAAGAGCACAGACATTACAGGCTGAAGCCTCTAGGCTTGAGCTAGATATACGGCAGAAAGAGCAGGAGCTTTGGACGCTGAAGAACCAACACCGGCGGGTATTGGACGAGCTGGCTGATACCGAGAACGCTGTGGAAGCGAAACTTTCATCGTACAAAACGTCGCAGTCGATACTTGACAGGGAGATTTCCAATTTTCTGACTCGACCACCAATTGCAGGTCATATTCCAATGTCATCTTCGCCCTTTTTAACACTTCCCGCTAAGCGGCGGACGCTCGAGATGGCGCGCGAATTCTGGCATGACGAATACAACAGACTAGCTGAAAAGTGCGAAGAAGTCGACGCAGACAGGGGGGCGCTCGATGATGGGGCTCAATTGTGGAATGACGTGGTGAAGAAGATAGCTGAATACGAAACCGGCCTGCAGGACTTCATGCAACAAGCTGGACGATCTGAATCTCAGGATTCTTCCAAATTGCTTGAGCAAATGGATGCCACTATTGTTTATCTCGAGGAGAAATTGGAATATGCCTCGTCCCAGAGTTGGAACCTCCTAGTATGTGCCATTGGGGCAGAACTCGAAGCTTTCAAACAAGGCAAGGATATCCTGAAAGAAGCCTTGGGCATGTCTCGGAAAGGCAAAGAGAAGGCTGTAGACTCGTTGGCAGACCACGATGGCTTTGTACCAGCAGAAGAAGAAATGACTGGCTCGGCGATAAGGATCACTCGCTCACCACCTAAGCCTGCACCGCCCAAACAACGCTTCTTCGAAACTGATGACGAAAACGAGGATCCTGACCCTGAGCTTCTGATATCCCAACATGACACTGATACAGACTGAATTAGGCTTACAGGATAATTGTGTTACATTACTCTACTAATCAAGCTGTTCACTCATTCTCTCTTGACAGACTCCTACCACGCTGTGTGACCTCCATCAATTCTCATGTCAGACCCTGTCATGAATGAGCTAGCGTCACTAATCAAGAACACTGCAGCACCGCGGTACTCCTTGGGTGCTGATAGCCGTCCAAGCATGTTCTCCGTCGGCCACTGCTTCTTTCGCTCGGGGTACTTGACGAATAGCTCCTCCACCATAGCCGTCACGATATATCCTGGCGATATCGTATTCACCCTGATGTTATACTGACCCCATTCCGATGCGAGATTACGACCAAGTTGGATGACGCCAGCCTTCGATGCATTATACGCCGGGCAAATCAGACCCTAACCACACTGTCAACATTTCTCCAATCCAAACCTTCATAGTGAGCACACAAAGACACATACCCTGTTAGCAACACTCCCGCTCATGCTAGCAATCAGTACCATACTGCCCCCATTCCCAAACCGAATCATCTGCTTCGCCACAGCCTGCGCAGTCATAAACACCCCCGTGATATTCACCTCAAACATGCGGTTTGCATCTTCGGCCGTGTATTCCAGCGCCGGCGTTTCCTGCTGGATTCCTGCCGCTGCAATCAAGCCATCCAGTCGACCTTCTTTCTCAGCAATATCGGCGATAACCTTGTGCAAAGCGTCGACTTCTCGCACATCGATTTGGCGGTATTCGAGGATCGAGCCCAGAGCGCTGGCTTCGGCTGCGATGATGTCGAAGTCGGGGGAGGGCGTGGGGAGGCGATCTAGCGCGTAGACTATGGTGGGGCGCGTGTTAGGGACGTCACTGTGGGGTCCTGACGAGAGAGGGGGCAGAGCTTGGATGTCTGAGAGAAGAGTAGGGTATTGTACCTCTTGCGCCAGCTTCAAGCAAGGCTTCCGCTTGAGTGAGACCGAGTCCACGTGCCGCGCCAGAAACAAGGACGACTTTGCCGGCGAGGCTGAATTCAGGAAGACCGTGAGTGTTCGACATTGGGGGCTCCGCGTACTGGGAATTGGATCCAAGAAGTCGAGGTAGAACAGTCGTGTTGGACAATATCACCAGAGCTTTTTATCCCAGCAAGCCTCTTCAGACAGGAACGTAGGTATCCAAACAATCAGCAGGAATAAAAAAGGTAATCAAGTGCACTCAAGTCCACAAAAACACCGTTGAACAAGATCCAACTGACCCCAAACGCGGGGCCCCCCATCACAGTATTTAAACAAGCGCTCCCTCTCTCCCATTCAGCCGAGACACGTCCGACAACAACCAGCCAGCTATCCGATTAAAGCCTTTCCACTGGCAAGCTCGGTGGGGGGGGGCGAGCGCGTTGTGTCCCCAACGATGGTTTACTGTTTGCGGGGAACAGTCCAGCATTTTTCGGGATTTGGCCTGATTAGGCATGCCGGGAGGGTGCCCGGTGCGTCTTCTCTCCGCGGGAATGCTGTGTTTGGTTGGAGGGGCGGAGGGGCTGTTTGTGTGATGATGACAGTGATGGAGGATGGGTGATGGGGCTTTTGGGAGGCAGCTGTTGGAGAGTATTGGAGAGGGGGTTTGGGGTGCAGAAAGGAGGTTTGGACAAGGCGGGTTTGTGAATTGGTTGGGTAAGAAGGTGTTGTTCATCATACAGTCACCGATTACCTTGCTCGGCTGTTTGTGTGTACGCCTGGATACTTGTGGGAATATTCATTCATTCTGGCACCTTAACTCGTTGTAGTATTGCGATTCGCTGTTTGGTGCTTGGTTGTTGATGAAGACTTTCATTGCTCTCTTTTGCCATGTCTTTGATGTACGGTACCGGTAACCCCAACTAACTTTAAACCACCTTGCGCCCCCACTGTGGTCTGGCCAACCTCACTCAGCCTTGCTGCACAAACAAACCAAGCATGCACACACATGCATCGAAAGGGGGGGTTTACGCTGCTTTCTCTTTCTTTTTCCCGAAGTTTTGGAAATTGGCCATTGCATGATCACTGGGCGGCTGATGGAACGTCCCGCAAATCATGTGTCGATAGCACATACCGTCCCGTAAACGTTGGTTCCACGCACAGCGCATTTTCAGGAGGCGCGTAACAGTGAGGCTCACGACTGCGCAGCAGAACGGGACAGTAACCTGTTGTGCTATGTTGGCAGCCAGTATCTTCCTGCTTCTCGATTTGTCTGGCGATTTGTAATTCCTTGAGTATTGACTACACGCATGGCGGTGCCGCACAAAGGCAACCTTGCGCCCGAGTCCCTATCCCATCCCACCGCGACACATTCCCAAACCCAAACCTCGACTCTACACCGAGTCATCCCTCGCCATCGAAAATAGAGCCATCTGGCACCTGACACTGTCCCGAACGACTGATAGGCTGTGGTGTGAGCCCTGCGGCATAGCAAGGCTTTTTTTTCTTCCTGCGAGGCACTCAGCACTGGGGGCAGTGCACATTTCAACGAGGGGGACGTGACACTTGTGCCTGAGGCACGGTGCACATTCCTTTGTCGCGCGCCTTGAACGCCTTTGGTAGATGACTTGAGGCATTGTTAGACAATGGCTCTGTTTTCTAATCCTTTTTTTGGGGAGGCGCAGGTGGGTCTGTGAGGAGGTTATGTAGCGTGATGGTTCTCGCGTTTGGAGACTGCTTTTTTCTTTCTTTCGTTCGTTCTCAAGAGATCAAGCACTTTTTCTGACTGGCGATATCTGCATTCCCGTACAAGCTTCTTCAATATCGAGTTTCTAAACCTCGGTAACGCACAATCCAAGGCTACTGCAAACCTCGTGTACAATGGCTCCACTGCCACCAACCCACGACAGACTCACCTCGCCACTCTCTGCTATCCTGCCAAATATCCACAAGCGCTCGCCATCATCATGCGCAGACTACGACAACGCATGTAACAATACACATCGTCTCATCATTCTCATCATCATTTTGATCGTCGGCTTCGTTGTCGGTTTGATCTTCGCATTCGTGTGCTTCCGCAGTCGCAAGAGGAGGATCGTCCGTGAGAGGCAGGCGAGAGCGGCAAAGGAGCAGACAAATCTGTGGAAAAGCAAGGAGCAAGTTCAGAGAGGAGATTGGGAGGCATCGCCGCCCTATATGCCTCAGAGGCCGGAGAGTGCGCTAAGGGGCTGGCGATGAGAGTTGGTTTGGGGGGGGCTGCGCTTCTTGCAACATCTAAAAAATTCGACATCAGTACATGGAGTCGACGGTACCTATCAGAGTCTGAGAAGACAACTCGACATGTCCTGAAATGTGGGCCTTTATGCCACATGTATATACCGCCGAGTGGCAGCGCTCACGCTTGCAGGTTTTGATAGATGGGTATGCTCGAAAAAGCAAAGAACAAGACGAAGGCATTTTCATGTGGTCTCCTGAACATTATGGTACAGCAAGCGACATGCTAACCACCACAACAAACATTTTCGCGCTGTCTACTATACACAATTTCTTACCAAATACTTGGTACTAGATATAGTGATTAGATTTTTTAAATTACAGACCGACTCCATTCGACATTTCTTCGACAGCGGCCCCGCCCCCAGCCCAAGGAGCAATGTCTGGCCTGGACCGTAGGTACTGAGCCTGATGCAGCGATACGGGTTTCCATCTCTGTTTCATTTCTTCGCTCCTCTCTCTACCCCCCTCGCTCCCTCCCCTTTCCACCCCTACCCTTCCTAGCTTCCCAAATCCACCCACACCATTACTATATAAGAAGCAGAAGCAAAGTAAGAACGAGAGTGTGTGTAAGAATGGGCGGGGGGGGGGGGGGGGGGGGGGGGGGGGGGGGGGGGGGGAAAGAAAAAGGGGGGGG